TATTAAAAAAATTCTCAAAATTTAATTGCTAAAAATAACACAGCAAGGATTTTAGAATCCTTAGTAAGCATTTATTGTTGTAATATTTGTAGGTAAATTTTTAGTCTAATGGCGTATGATGCATCATACTCCACATTTATTTTTAAACACACATCTTTTACTATATATCCATTAGTATATCTATTTAATAAATCTCTAGGCACTACTAATGCTATTTAACTTATACTTATTTTGTTTGTAGAATTCTTTTGGAAGAAACAGAAAAACTATTATGATTAGTTTGTTGTACAAGAGCATATACTCTAGCAATTTATAGAGAGAAATATAGTCTGATTTTATATGCTTTAATGACAATCTGCATTAATCATACGACATTAAAATATATTAATCAAGTAAAGATATATGAAACAAAACAATTGTATGTTATTTAATAACATAGATTTTAATTTTTATGACAGTTATATTATATATACTTATTATGCAAACTATTTAATTGATTGTTATAAATCTAGATAAACTGTGATCCAACATCAATTAAAAAATATTGCGCAGAGATCTGCAACAATCTGAAGTTCTATTTTATTGTGGAAGTTGTGATTCTTTTAGGAACTTCAAGTGCAAATATATTAAAATTAGCTTTCTTTATTCTTAGCATAAAGTTAAATGATAAACGTAAGCTCATATTAAATCTCAACAACAATAATCTTAGGATCAAACAAGCACCTGAGCATTTAAAGCGTATTTTAATAATTGATCATAAGTGTTTTGAGGTTCTATTAACTCTTGATGGAGTTCATCATAGTTGCTTCAAACAAGGTAATTCTCTTATGAAGAATGTGAAAATGATCAATTATATTCATCATTTAACTTTATATCAAATAAAACCAATTTTAATATGTTAGTACCTAACATTCCTCAAAAAACAAAAATGGTGCCAACTCCTGACTATAGCTACTCCAACTGACTATGTAATTTTTACTTCTAATCAATGCAGAACCACAATTTATTTGAATTTATAACGATCAAAAAAATAAGTAGTAATATAACTGGCCTAGAAAATAAAATTCATGTTATTAAATAGCATACCACTGTCTTATTTTGTATTTTTTTACCCGATTAGCATATTTCAGTAAGTTTATTGTCTCTTCAATATTTGCATTAGTAGGGCTAATACAAACTATCATTAAAGCACATAAAAAAAGAGTATGTTTCTCTCTATAAGATTGTTGAGGGAATGTCATTATAGTATTATACAACGGATATATAAGCTAAAGAAAAGTCAAAACTCACTAATCATAATATTTTTGCTATTTCCTTCAAAAGAATCATACAAGTAAGATAATTATAAGCGAACTAGTACTATAACTCTTTAAAGATTCACTAAGTATATGCACTAATGAATTTTAAAAATAAATGTGAAGGAAAATGAAGCATAATACATCATTACACTTAACATTCACCTGCAAATATTATGATAACAAGTGCTTACTAAAAATTCTAATGTTTTTGACCCAGTCATTTGAATATGAAAATTATGAGAAAATTTTGAATGATGACTCGCTTTAGAAAAATGTAGATGATACACTCATTACTGTTATGAGATACCTTTCAGTAATTAAATTAGATTCCAAAGATTGATTTCATATAATATTTTTCAAATAATAGCTACTTGTAATGAGAAGAGATATTTTGGAGAAGAAATACCCACAAATAAAATAACATTTTATATCATATTTATTAAAACATCATATACTTCAATAAGTGTTGTTGTCCATATAAGCAAGAGATGACTTGTCTGATAATTATTTCTTGCATCAACGTTTTATCTATTTGTTGAAACTACAACCTAATGTGAATAATATTTACCTCATAAAATGAGTATTATATGCAAATAGTATGCACAGTAGAATATAGAAGTCATCATCATTTTAAGAAATAAAATGTCAATTTGCTTTGCATTTCGTGCATTGAAGCAAATAAGACCCTTGCACTTAGCATTGGCATTACTACTTTAAAAACACCACAAACAAAGAGAAAACAGTCTTTCAAGTGCATTTAAAAACAACAACAAAACTTCACAAATAGAGATCTTATATTTTCAGCAAATAAAAGTTCTAACCATTGAATGTAGTATTTCTTCATGAATGCCATTGGAGAATCCACAGCCAAGTTGCTACTAAGCCAAATCTCTGACATGGCAACTAGAAAATATCCAGCGGATATCCTCTGATATATGTAGGAACATAATTAACGACAGTTTATTAAGAGAGAGAGAGAGAGAGAGAGAGAGAGAGAGAGAGAACATAAAGCCACAAAAAGTACTGATATATAAGTACAACCTGGCATTTTCATATAAACTATAAACAGCAAAGAACATGCACTGAAAGCAAGCCTAAACAAAGGTTGTGTGATTCGCATTTAATTTAGAGTCAAATTATATAGCACAAGTAGAACTAAGCATGCCCATCTCAGAAGTCCATGCAAAGGACAAAAGTTCTGAAATTTCACCAAAACTACTCAAACGAAATCAATCCTCACATGAATCATATACTTCTTTCTAAAATAACAGTGTTTAAAAAAAAAAAAAACAAAGAAAGGTTATCATATAATTTTCATTTCTACAAAATGATCAAATCAAATGTGATTAATGATCATACTATCTGGTTAAAAATCATTAATAAATTATCCTTGAAGACCATCTTTTAGCTAACTTTAAGTACTCAAGTTGTATAATGAACTGGCTTGCCTGAATCAAGAGATTGATGCCTTTGTGCTTGAAATAATTATAAAAGCATTCACATAATGAGACCATGAAAAAAATCCGTGAATCATATGACGACAATAACAACATCAAGCCGTTATCCCATTACGTAGGGTTGGCTTCATGAATCATATGATAGAGAAAATAAAAAAAATATTGTCCCATTAATGAAACTTCTTGATGCATCATTCAGTATAAGGCTGGCCTGGAGAATGGAGAACTCAACAACAACATCAAGCATTTATCCCACTATGTTGGGTCAGCTACATGAATTCTTTTTTCTCCATTGTGTCCTATTAAAAGTTAAATTCTCATTTAAATCTAATTAAAAAAACCATTTCTAATATTTTCTAACCAAGTCTTTTTAGGTTTACCTCTATCTTTCTTAACATAAATCAAATCTAATACATCTATTTTCCTATCCAGGTCATCGGAAGGCCACCGTTTCATGTGACCAAGCCATCTAAGACGATTCTCTCTAATCTTATATTCCACTAGAGAATGGAGAACTCATAATGGTAAAACAAAAAAACAAAACAATCTAATTTGTGTATTACTTACCATGTTTGCCAATTTGATACAAAAATATTTTAAAATCCAAAAAAAAAAAAAAAAGATAGAGATCACTTCACCTACTTCAGATAATTAGACAAAGATAAAATATGGGGACGGGTGGCTTGTTAGAGTCTTTATTGGTGAGGACCTTACGGACAAGGTCAACATACAGTTTGGTTGGCTGGCCATTGTCTACGTTATCCAGTTAACAACCTGCCATGGTTATAATTAAGATGTTGGTGGCCAGTATAAAGATGATAAGATTATTGGGAAGACATTTGGTACTAATATTCCTAGGGATTGCAATTATACATAATATAGAGGATAATTATTCCGACCAAACCCAAAGGCACCCGACTATTTTATCAATAGAATCCGATTGGGTTTGGTATTAGCTGGTTGGGTATCGACTAACCAAATCCGATGAAATTCTAATATGATTATATCATTAAGATTAAAAAATTTAATGGAACATGGGTTTGCACCTGTCTGGGATTTATGTTTGATTTAAGTTAAAACAACTACTCCACATGTATGGCATATTAAGGCTTTGTTTATAAATTTTTTATTGTCAAAATTTTGTGAATCTCTACGCGAGGAATAACTTTTTTTTATATTTTATTCTAGCAGGTATCTGAGTAGCCATTCACAAAGCAAGTAAAATAATCATTTTTTGCTACCCAGCTGATTTGGATATGATTCTAAGTAGCAATAGTGGTATAGTTCCGTAAATACAGATCTGTGTATGACTTATCAAAGCGGATACCCCTTCATTTTCATCTCTAAATATGTTAGTGGTCGTTGCCTAGTCGACCCAACCAACCAGAAACTACAAGGTCACAAGCAAAGGGTAAGCCAAACAACTTGGAGCGATCCCAAAAAAGTTCATTGCAATCATAAAAAGGTGGGAAGAAGGAAAGGGATGAGATGAAAAAACATTATGTATTTTTTCTTTATTCAAATAGTTTTTTAACTTTCTACTTTGGAATAGATGATATAAACTTCAAAGTCTAAAATATTTCGTAATGCATATCATCCTTGATGAAATCAGGCCATTGGATTTTTCATGGAATTTAACATATATGGGTGATGATCAATCTTTCAATAATCAATGCATAACATGTTAATGGAAAGGAAACTTTTTAGTGTAGCCACCTAACGCAAGTAAACTTGAGCATTTTTCAATACAAATTTTGTTAAATCCTAGCCATCCCTTGACCCTTGATCCCATGGACAGCATGAGGATTTGTAGGGGGCTTACCTGGATCATGACAATGTCCTTCAAGATTTGGGTGGCTGATTTATGAAGGATTATATTAGGGTAATTATGCATTATTCTGTAATTATATGTTTCCTCATTAAGATATCATGTATAGATCTATAAATAGGGATAACTTTATGCAATTAAATTAAGCATTTTTCCTCTCAAATTCTCTGAATTTAACATGGTATTAAGAGCCTAAGGATACATAATCCATTTCTTGGGTTTCTTTATTTATTCGTTTTCCTGATTCTTGAAGCGTCAAGCTTAAAAGAGTAAGAGGGATCAAAGAGAGAGCTTGGTAAGAGCCTTTTATGCATGCTCTTGAGTGTGATCGAGAGAAACGAGTGGACCTTCTTCTTCAAGGAGCGAGCAGAAAGCACGATTCTAGCCTCTCTTCGTACGTCTAGGACAGAGGTGAGAAAAGCAAAACTGAGCATGCGCTTCCAGCAAGATCCAACGTATGGAAGCAACAATCTCTCTTCTTGCGACTGAAAGAAAGAACCAAGTTTTCTTCCGCTGTTGTGCCTTCATTGTCGGCCTTCTCTTGTTACTACACTCCTATAACCAAAGCAGCCTTCATTGTTGTCTTGCACCTTACTAACTTGATTAATATAGTCTTCATCACTACCAGTTGTCGCCGCAATGTCTGAAGCTAATTCCTCCCAAAGCTTTATGAAGGACTCCATGGTGCACCAAGGAAGACAAAATCTCCAAAATATACAACCTTTCTATCGCATAAATGGAAAAATTTTGCTATAAGTGGTCTCAATTTGTGAAGACCAACTTGAAAATGAAAGTAAAGATGAATCACCTCCTTAGGGTATTACCAAAAGAAGAAGATCCTAATTTTTGGGCATGGGATGAAGCAGACTCCATGATTATGCCATAGTTATGGAATTCCATGACTCCATAAATTAGTAATACTTTCATGTTCTTATCTACTGCAAAGGACATATGGAAACATTCTCAAAACTTAGGATGTTGCCCAAATCTTCAAAATTCAGGTCAATGAGGGAAGCACAAAATAAGGAAGCAAGATCAAGATTGAATAAGCTACTGTCCTTCAAGGCTTGTAGCAAAAAGTTAATCACTACAGATGCATAGAGATCAAATGTCCAAAATATATTGTTATCCTAAAAAATATTACTGAGAAAGATAGAATGTATGACTTTTTTGCAGGATTAAATATGGAGTTTGACGAGACTAGAGTTCAGATCCTTGGCAAAGAAGATACATCTTCAATAAATGAGACAATTTCTCTCATTCATGCTGAGGAAAGCCGACGAGGGGTAATGCTGGAACCAAATGCTATTGAAAGTTCAACAATGGTGAATACCAAATAGGCACTATGGAAGGAAAGAGGTAAGGATTCCTTGAAACCTAAAGACAAATACTCCCTTTGGTACAGCTATTGTAAGAAATCAAGACACACAAAGGAGACATGCTAGAACTTGCATGGAATGCACCCAAGTTAGGAGTATAATCAAAGAAGTGGACAAAAGGGGACATCACAAACTAACACTACAAGTCAGCCCAACCCATAAATGTAGTCCAGGTTTAGAGAGCTCAACAAAGAAGATATTAATAAGCTAAAACAACTATTGGTATCCTTTGAACAATCACTTGAGTCTTCTTCTCTTACACTTTCAGATAAGTTTTATATATCCATCAAATTAAGTATCTTTAGAAATTATTTAAAAGATTTATGGATCACTGATTCAGGAGCCACATATCACATAACACACTCGATTACTCACTTCATCAACTATACTCCTTGTCCTAGTGATAAGAAAATCATCATGGTTGATAGTTCTCTTACCATATAACAGGCCAAGAAGACATACCCTTTTTTCCCTCTCTCTCTCAAAAATGTGCTCCACATGCCTCAATTATCCACAAACCTAATCTCCATACAAAAACTAACTAGTGATCATAATTGTCAAGTCCTATTTAACACTACTTGTTGTTGATTTCAGGACCAGGGATCGAGGAAGAATATTGGACTTGCTAAGGAGAAAGATACACTTTACTAGCTGAAAGAGCTGAACAAATACACTATTATCAATAAGGGTTATTTTATGTTATCCCTATTTAATAAAAAATCTACTATTTGGCTTTATCATTTTAGATTAGGACATTCATCTTTTGACATCTTAAAAAATATGTATCCAAAATTTTTTTATTGATTTGAAAAATGAGTCCTTTCATTATGAAACCTATGAGTTAGCCAATCATAAATGAGTTTCTTTTCCAAACAAAAACTAAAGACATCATACTCCCTTCTACCTTTTTCAAAATGATATCTGGGGATCCTAAAAAATCTCTAACATTTCAAGGACCCGATGGTTTGTATCCTTCATTGACGAATGCATTTAAGTCTCTTGGATCTTTCTCCTCAAAAACAAATTCAACGTTAGCACTATCCTCCCCAATTTTCACGCCATGATCCAGAACCGATTCGGGGTGAAAATAAAGAAATTTTGTTTCGACAATACCAAAGATTACTTTAACCATACACTCCTACTTGCAAAAGGAATGTATCATTCATGAGTTTTCCTGTATTCACACCCCACAACAAAATAGAGTTGCAAAAAGAAAAAATGACTACCTTCTTGCCTCCACCCATGCACTTATATTCCACCATAA